TTTTGTTCTTTTCATTTTGTTTTCTTGTTTTTTAGCTGTCAAGGATCTGAATTGTATTGGGGGCTGGGAGATGGGAGGGGGATAGAGTGGACCTAGAGGGAGGAGGGAAACAGCAGTGCAAACCCTAGGAGTGCCTCCCCCTCCCTCCCACGCTCTGTCTGTCTGTCTGTCTCTGTTCTCTGTCTTGTCTGGAAAGGGGAGGCTTGATGTTGCGAGTCACTGCCCTTCTCAGGCCTGGAGACATGGGCTTGACCGCTGGCAGGGCCCAGTTCCCTCTCACATGAACTGCCTTATCTGTGAACTTCTCTCACTCCAGGAGGTGTGGGCCGGGGAGTGACTCCAACAGAGGTTGGGGATGAAGCATTTTTTCCAGGGAGGGATGGGGGGGGCCTTCTATGTTGTGTATGTTGGGATGGGGGGAGGGGGGATTGATGTAAAAAAGAAAAAAAAGAAAGAAAGAAAAAGAAAGAAAGAAAAAAAAGAAACAAACACCCACAAACAATTTGTCATCCTCTTCAAATTCACGTGAAACTAGTGTGAGGGCTCCAGGCAGGCTCCTGCCACAGCGTGGAGAGCAGGGCTCTGGTGGGGGGCTTCCACAGGCCCTTGTGGAAGGTCTCATCCAAGGTAGGTTGGTTCCATGTGCCAGATGAGTGGAGCATTCCCAGATATCTCAGTGGCTGTCGGAGGGGAATCAGGGTGACTTCCTGAGCTCCACGGCCCTACCAGGCTGTGTGAAGGCCACATCTCACCCTGCTGTGACCCAGCAGATCCAGGGGTAGGTGGGCTCGCTGCTGCTTCTCCACTGCACCAGGCAGTGGAAAAGGTTGGGGGGGACACTGGACCCAGTGCTGCTTGCTGTTGAATCTGTGATTGGAGCAACTTCCCCCTGCAGAGAATCTCGACGTTAATTTATTTCATGAAGGCGTAATATTTATTGTTTGGGGGACTCTTTCTTACTACTTTTAAATTAATTTCCATATTAAAAAAAATTAAAATGCTGGCCTCCATCACACAGTGGTTGCTTGTTGGGTTGTCTGTGTGGGAAGGAGCAGCTGGTTGACCAAAGTATAGCCTAGAAGCAGGTCCAGCTGTGGAGACTGTCTGGATGTGCCTCATCGGGGGATCGTGCCAGAGCAGGGAGGAGCTGCTCCGAGTGTTCTGCAGCAGCTGGAGGGAGGATGAAGGCCTCTTGTCATGTTGGGGCAGGTGGAGGAGCTTGTGTGGGAGCCTCCTGTGCTCTTTCCCAGTGATGAGGAGGTGCTGCGAGGTGTGTGGAGTTGCCAAGGCAGAGCTCCTGCCAAGGAAGCCTTCCCCCAGGCAGGGACTGGTGCCCAGCCCTGCTCTGCCCCACAGGTGCACAGGCTGCCCCAGCCCTGGCAGCAAACATGCCACCTGCTTGCCATGGTGCCAGGGCTCCTGAGGAGGGGCTGGGCTACCCACACACAGCTGGCCTGGTGAGTGTGACTGGGTGTGTGTGAATGTGTTAGGATGGAGGCTGGAAATCCAGGAACCTTGTCACGTCTGGGTATCAGCAGGCAGATGTGCTTCATCTATGTGGGATGTCTCTGGAGTGTGGCTGGGTCCTTGGAGCAGTGGTAGCTTGTAGGGGACCTACAGGGCCGTGGAAGCTGCAGTCACTGGTGTTTGCTGGGACCAACTGGATGTAGGAAAGGGCAGGATGTCCTGACATCCTTCATCAAAGGGGGTGCTGGAAGATGGGGACCTCCCTTCCTGAGAGAGAGAGAGAGGTGTGTGTGCACACGTGTGTTACAAAAACATAATAAAAAATGTTATGGGGCTTTCCTAGTGTCTTTCTCTGTTTAATGGACATTGTCTGTCAAACATAACCACACCATTCATAGAAGCCTTAGATCAACAGTTTAGCTATGCAAATTATTTTAATTATTTTTTTTAAAAAAACAAACATTAAAATAGTGCTTTCTTCTTTAACATATCCTAGGAGTTGAAAACCGAGGGGTTCTGAGCAAACTGCTGGACAACTTGTCTTTGGATGCACCATGGAAATAAAAATCAAACCCCCCCACAAAAGTAACAAAGCAAATTAACTGATGGTGTTCATGCAAGTTTCTCCAAAGACTTGACAGTGCTGCGTCTGTGAGTCATGCCCTCCTGTGCTCTGTATGTCCACCTCATGCACAACCATGTGCCACTGATTGTATGACCAGCTTGCCCAGATGTCTCTTGCATCCCTGTGAGGCTGTCAGTTTTCCAGTGGATTTGGGGAACGGACCTAGGCAAGGGCTTTCCTTGTCAAGAGTATCAAGTGTTGAGACCTGTGGGGGTGTGGGAGAGGCTGGGGCACGAGTAGACCCTCAGCAGATCCTTGATCCTCACTGGTGGTGGTCAGGGTACTGGGGCTCATCTGAAAGACCCTCCTGAGTCCTCTCTGAGTGGGGCTTTTTTGTGGCTGTGTGTTGAGACAAAGCATGGAGATTCATCTGGGGACGGTTGGCACTATAGCTCAGGATGTGGTACCCTTTGCCTTGCCAGGGGAGCAGGCCCTGGCACATCCCCATGCTGCTGTCTGAAGTCCTCCTTAGGGTTCCTGGTATAGCCCAAGGCCGGTGGCCATAGAAGATGGAGGCATCTGGTGCTTGGCTGCCAGAGGGCACACACTTTGTGCTGGGAGCCAGCTGGAAACCTCCCTGTGTCAGGGTGAGGAGTGAGGGCTCTCCTGGCTCCTGTGTGGCTGTGGTGGCTTGGAGACCTTGGCTGCCCCCTGGTGATGGGGCTGTGCCTGGATGCAAACAGCTGCGAGGAGCTTCCTCTCCCTGGCAAATACCCATGGATGGGACAACCACAACATGGTGCCCTGAGCACGGCTCCAGCTACCCTAGCTGGTGTGGTGTGGCCCCTTAATAAGAGGCTGGGTCTGCTCTGCTGAGAAGTGGTTGCAGAGTTAGCTGTGATGCCCTGACACGGGGCTCCCATGGGGGCTGGCAGAGACTGGGGCTGCTCCAAGGAGACTGGAGGTACCTGTGGAAAGGACTTCCTCCATCCCACAGAACCTGTGTGGGTTATCCAGGGGCTTTCAAAGTCGGGGGACCTCTCTGAGCTCTCTCCCATGGGACTCCCTCTACCCC